TAATTGCTCATTTTAGGCAGGTTTTGAGTCATCCAGTTGGGCTGTACTGGTTTCACAGATTTGGAACATAGATGATATGTAGTTTATCTGGTTCCAATTTTATTTTGTATTTCCTCGTCCAGACAGAAATTTACCACTGCTTGCCTAAAACTCCAATATGTGTGTGTGTGTGTGTGTGTGTGTGTGTGTGTGTGTGTATTTTTTCCCCTCTTACTTGAAATGGCATCTCGAGAGCTTCTCAAATTCCTTTGGGTAGAAAAAAATGTAGGACAGCATTTGCTTTAAGGCCTGCTTTTCAAACACATCCGAGTTTTTAAACAACTAAAAAATGTACAGCATTTAACAGAAAGAGCTATTCTGTCAAAGTATTATCTGTCTATGCCCACATTTCATTTCCCAAATGTACACAGAGAAGTTTGGGCCTCTGATAACAACTGCTTTCAACCTCTTCTCAGTAATTCATGTGTTCTCCTTCTTTGGGGAAAATAAAACTACACTTTTTAAAAAAGAAAAACCATGCGCAAGACTAAATTCGGCTGATGATAATCTGAATTCATAATAAAAATCTCTGCAAAAATAAGGAACAAAAAACAAGAAAAGTAAATATTTGGACTCTACACAGCAACTTTAAAAGTACTCCCAAATACTGTGACTTCACAAACAGGCTCAAAGTCAATATTTGCCAAGTGAGGTAAGCCAGGAACAGACAATTTAGGAAACTTGTTGGAGTCCTCATATCACTTTTTGCTTACTTACTCACCAGTCTAACCCATGTCGTAATACGACACGTGAGCCAGCACCCGCTGAAGGGAGAGGATATTCATTTCAAGAAAACAGGCTGCTGTTTTCCAAAAACTGAACTTTGTGGAATGAGAGGAAAAAGGGGGAAATGAACTTTATTATTTTCATATATCCTATTTAAAAAGACTTCAAAAGAATGAATAGACATATCTGAATGAAGAAACTACTGGGCGTCCCTCCCTGCTAAGGCAAAGAACATACACTTGGGAATGGATCTCCAGCTCCCACTGAGGACTCCCCTACTCAGGGTACCAAAGAAAGAAGTCCTTAAGTGGGAGCCAGTGTGGGCTTTGAATAAAACTACTTTGCTTCAAAGGGTGAGAAAGAAATAGGAGACAAAGGGTGACTGTACTAAAAGCAAAAAATTCTCTCAAAATACAATCATACTATACATAATGCACAGAGTCGTATCATAAAAATACATCTTAATAGTCCAAGTTATAAGCTTTCAGCGTATTGAAAACTCTATGACCCTTGCTCTAAATTCTTGTCTCTCCAAGTTTTGGTGAACAATTAACTCAAGTTTAAAAATACACTACATTAAGAAATTGGCACTGTTGAAATTTTCTAATAAAACTGGCATGAAGCCACACAAAAATTAGGAAAATCTCAGCAAAAATGAAGTGTAAATAACTTCCAAATTTTAAAATATATCTTTCTTTAAATTGAGGTTTTTTTCCTCCTAAAAATATCTATGTAAAGTTCCATGCGATATGAACTACAAAATTCTACATAAGTATCACTGGGGAAAATCAACTCATATATCCTTTTGATTCCTTTATTTAAAAAAGTTTTTCGGTATTTTCCTGATATATTATAAATAAGTCAACTCTAGACTTTTTGAAACAGATAGGCAACTTTGCTATAGAGATTTTATATGCATCTAATTGCTTGCAATAATTTTAGTTCTTTAAAAAAGATTTATTTATTTATTTTAAATTTGCTACAGGGCTCACCAGAAAGAGAGCGTGAAAGAGAGAGGGAAAGTGAGAATGCAAGCCACCAGGTCTGGGACACGAACCACTGTCAGCCATGTGAGAGACCAGTGCCTTGAACCAACACGTCACCTGTTGGCCCCATATTTTTAATTTAAAAATATATTTTAAAAAATTTTACCACACAGTGCCTGCATTTGCTAAAAGGAGTAGTGGGGAGAAAGCATCTTCCAATGGGATATGGTCACACTGCAATCTCACCCTGGGACCCAGCTCCCTTACCCAGTAGGACATGGGGTGGGCCCAGTAATTTTAAATGTACTTACCATACAAACAAACATCAAAATTAATTTTCTACCTTCTAAGAGGTTCCAGTCTAACCTAGAAAAGACACTGAGTGTGGAACACATATATGTAGAGATTATAAATTAAATCTTTATTTCATAAAAGTATGCAAACATAAATAGGCCTCATGGGATAATAAATCTATTTACCATAAATAAGTATCTAGGGACCAGCAGGTGGTGTGGTGGTTAAAGCACTGGACCCCCACATGGTCGACCATAGTTTGAGTCTCAGACCTGGCGTCTTACTTTTTCACTTCCCTCTCTCTGTCTTTCTCTGGTCAAATTAAAGTAATACTAATAATTAACAAATAAAATTAAATAATTCTAAAAATATATATCTAGTACATTATCTAATTTTTTTTTTTTTAGTTTTGCTATGAGGCACATGCACTTGCCAGAGAGAGACAGACAGAGAGAAAGAGAGAAAATAAGAAAACCCCCATGTGAGATAGCCATGAAGCAATCTCTTCTCCTCCAGTCTCCTCAGTCTCCTCTCAGGATCTGGGCATGCAGGCACATGCATCCAGCATGATTTTCAAGATGCTAAGTCCAGAACTCAAACTGCACAGTAAGCAAGATGGGATCCAGAGCCTTAACTGCCACACCACTTGCTGGCCCCACGTTATCTACTTTTGATCTGCATATTCTTTCATCATGCATCCACTTCTTTCTCCTTTTCCAGTCTTAGTTGAAAATGGAAGGCTATATGCATTTGAGAAAGAGATGGCAGAGTGCTAATGTCCTGAGCAGAAACCACTTCCAAGTGAGAAGTGATTTTATCCAGATTTGATCCACTTTTTATAGTCCTAATCCTACAGTGCTACCCTGCAACCACAGGTCACTTCAGTGATAGATGTCATGCAGGACAGGAGAGACAGAAAACACTTTACAGCCTTAGAGTGCTTTGTACGTCACTGTTCTACTCACATGTTACTGCATTTGAACCTCCCAGCAACTAACTCCATAAGATGTGGAGGGGCAAGTTACTATGGCCACAGTACCAAGACTGGGGGAACCTGAGAGATTAAGAAACCTCACCAAGGTCACCTAGCCAGAAACCAGAAACCCAACAACTAGAACCAGAGCCTGTGCTTTTCAACTACTGAGACATCCAGAGTTATAGGGCAGGTTTTGTTTCTGGTGTGTGTGTGTGTGTGTGAGAGAGAGAGAGAGAGAGAGAGAGAGAGAGAGATCGATCTACCATCCAACTTCTTTGAAGGGTGACAGTACAAAAACCACCACCAATTAATTCTGGATTAATTTTTTTTAAACTTATTTAATTCCATTTTGTGTGAGGCTGCCACCAGCGAATATCGCCGGTTTCTCAGAGAGCAAACAATTACACAATGCCAAAAGCCATGATTGGCTTCCCTTCAAAACCTCACCTTCAAAACCATACTGATTGGCCACTAGAATCCCTCAGATTTGCATATCCATCACCTCATGATTGGTCCACAAAGCAACCAATCATAACCCACCTTTTACAACCAACCACAGCCCACCAACATGTATATAACCACAATCCCTGGCCCACAATCGCCAGACGACCCTAAAGACCCTTAAGAGTTGTAACACTGTGTTGTCTCCAGACAACCCTGAAGAGTTGTGACACCGCGTCGTCTCCGTGCTGTAACACTGCGTCATTCGTCCCGTCTCTGATTCCTTCCCTCAGGAAACCTGTTTGACTGTCCTCCAGACAGGATCATGTGTACACCTGGTGTGCTCAGATCAACCTGGGATCAAAACCAGGGCCTCCCACAAGACTCTAGCATCATGCAACAGTACCCTACCACCTGTGCCAATGCAGCTGGACCAATATATATGTGGCTTTTAAAATAATATTATCCAAGTGCAAAAGTTAGATACTTTTCCAATTTACAGGTGATTTTCCTTTTCCTTTTAACATTCTAATTTTCCCTTCAGTTTGTACTAGGAACATAATATAGCAACATGATAAAATTAATTTCAGGAAGAGAGGCAACAACATGCATTACAACAAGCCACAAAGAATGTGTGAAGTCATAATGCCTTCAAGCCAAGAACCCGTTTACTCAGGCTCCTCTGTGAGGTAAGCTCTGAGTACAGGTCACATCATTGCCCTTCAGGAAGGAACTGACTCAGACCAGCTTTCACTGGGTCACCTTCTCACTCTGAAGGCCTCTGTTGGCAGGGAACAGCTAGTTGATTCCCCTATCTCCAGCCCACATCTCTCAGAAAAACTCCATACCCTTGATTCCCTTGTCAAGTGATTAACACCTCTCAGTGTCCACAGATACTTCAACAAGCCCAACTTGTTCAAAACCAAACTATTGGGACGTCAGAAAAGTCATGACAGGGGCTGGCAGGTGGCATGGTAGCTAAGGGCGCTGGATTCTCACGTGGCTGACTATGGTTCAAGTCCTGGACCTGGAGGCTTGCTTTCTCATTTTCTCCCTCTCTCTTGTTCTCCCTCCCTCTCTGGTCAAATTAAAATATATAAGTAAAGTCATGACACATTTTTGCATAGAAAAACACAGAAAGTCAATGACTTTTCTGATGACCCAATATAACTCTCTCAAAACTAAACTCAATCTCCTTCCACTTTTTCGTTTCAATGAATAACCATTCATTAGTTATTGGATGAATAACTAATTACTCATTTAATTTTCCAAGTCAAAAGCCCAGGTAATATCCTCGTATTCTCCCTTCCCTCCTCTGCCAGACAGCTGATCAACTAACAAATTTTGAAGTAAAAAATACTTCTGCAGGGCCCCAAGGCTGTGTAGTAACGTAACACTACCTTAACAGCCTTGTATAAGATGCCAACTGAAAGTTACTAACAGCTGATTTCTTGAGCACTTACTTTGTGCCAAGCACAGTTGTAAGGTTGACTATGGATGAATTTAATCTACACAACAACTTGAAGTTGGTGTCTTACCTTCATTTTATGGATGAAGATGCAGCTACAGGGAACTTGAATATTTCTCCCAAGGAAACACGCTGAAGACCAAGACCTTAACATTGTGCTGAGCTTTCTCATGTCTGTGTCCTTGCATGCACTTTTGTTCTCTGCTTAGAAAGTCCTTTCGACCTTGCCTGCCAGGCAAGCTCATTCTCCTTGAAGTCTTCTAATGCCCCCTGCTGGTGATCTGGTCTCTAAATCAGTAGCTCTTCAAATTGGCTGCATGCTCTAAACACTAGACATCTAGATCCCTCCCCCTGGAAATTCTGATGGTATTGGGCTACATTCCAGACTGGGCATCCACTTTTAAAATCACCCAGGAGACCCTAACATGCAATGGATGTTAAGATTCACTGCCTTGTGATGGCATTTTTATGCCTAGCTGGTAACTACACTGTGAGCTTCCAAAACCAAAGTTTCAGTTGTGGGGGAGGGGCTTATTCAAAACGGCAGGTTCCTCAACCCCACCTAAAAAGTAAATCAGAAACCTGGGTAGGACCCTGGAAATGATTTGCCTCTTTGAATGTGTGGCTGGGTTTGGGAATACCCTCTTAGATAAGAACCAGGTCTTTCTATTTGTACCCACCAGGGTCCAGCTTTGTGTTTAGACCACAGCTGCACCATGACAAAATTTGTGTAATGAATGCAATCTAGTGACATGAATCTGGGGACAGGGAATATGTAGTCAGTATTCAAACGTCCTCCAACAAGCTGCACAAGGAAACAAAGCTCCCTGTAATGGAATGCAAATACTGGGCTGTCTGGATTTCGTTATCCACCAATGCCCCCTACTGACCTAAACGTGAATAGCTACATCAAAACTGGTCACAGTTTAAATACTTTAATATGTATATAACTAGTCACACACATTAAGTGGCTTCCACCAACACCTATGCTACCAACTCCTTTGCTCACTAGGAGACCCAAGCTATTAACTCCCAAAGTCAGACCAATTCTACTATTTGCTCTGTCCCCTCTCAGCAGAGACCAGGTGACTGGAGCACTCAGTAAAACTCTCAAAGCATCTGGCCTTTTATTGGTCTTTGGTCAGTGCCTCCTCTAAATCCCACCATACTCATAGAACCATTCTCCTCAAAAACAAAGAAATAATTCATCTACTCATTTGTCTCAATTCTTGCAGTAGTGTCTACACCACCCATGGGCTCATTAAAAGGAAAGGAGGTCAGGTTAAGTGCTGTGCATAGGAACTAGATCCCACGTGGTCAACCCTGCATGTACGAGGCTCATGAACATTTTCCAAAGTGTGCAATGAATGCTCCTCTAAACTCATCTAACTTATCTCTCTGTAATGGACAGAGTTGGTCGCACATCCAGTCTCCATTCTCCCTCTTCCTTCCTAAAAGAACCCTGTTCTATTTAGGAATTCATTCCTCTCCCATGAGATTAAGGTAAAGTGATCCTAGAACAAGGTATTCCTGGAAGCTTCTATCAGGTCAGGGGCAAACACCTGACCTATAGTGGTCCAATGTGGCTGAAGGGGACAATCCAAACATGAGAGCTTTGTTCTCTCTCCATCGCAAGCTCTAGCGAATGAGGAAATGTGTATGTTACTGGGAGTCCCTCTTACAACTCTTTGGGAAACCAACCTTACCTGGAAAAGCCAAGAGACTGGTCCTTGATGACACTGTTAGCTCACTCAATCAATGAGCCGGGAGACTATCTATCCTCCCTCTGGACGAGTAAGATAATTCCCTTTACCTTTTAAGCAATTGGATTTTCCCTGCTGAAAGCACCCTAACATAGCCTGTCTTCCTCAAAACTCCTTCCTTAATTTTCTAAGCATCACTCTCTCCTGATCCTACTCTTCCTTCCCTAAAATTGCTTCTCCATCTCTGGCCTCCCAAATTCCTCTTCCTGCTCCCTTGACTTTGGTGTCCCCCAAGGTTTGTGGTGAATTTTTCATATTCAAAAGCATATGGTCATATGAAATTTTAGTTCACTTTCTCCCTTGACACATCAAAACTGAGCTACCTACACTGCCCCCAATGGAGTATGATGCCGTTCCCTAGCTCATCTACCTGAAGAACTCCTACTTGTCTTTCAAAATTAAATTTAAATGCCCCTCTGTGAAGCCTTCCTGAAGTCCCAAAGGGTTCCTTGCCTTTTTCCTGCCTCTTTGGCAGGCTGTGAGCCCTATGGGTCCCTCCACGAAGTCATCTTGCTAATTGCATAAAATGCCAACTATATTGAAATAATTGTGAGAATAATTTTAAAACTCAAATTTCTGATACTATAATATGTGCTTTTTAAATTAAAGAATTGTTTTATTTACTTATTTTTAATCTGACCACAGAGAGAGAGAGAAAGTAAGTCACCACCAGGTCCAGGACTTGAACCACAGTCAGCCACGTGGGAGTCCAGCGCCTTAACCACCATGCCACCTGTCGGCCCCATGTGCTTCTTTTTTTTCAGTTCTCAGAGGACACATGCACTCACCAGAGACAGACAGACAGACAGAAGGAAGAGGAAAGCACCTCCCAAAGGGGTGTAGTCACACCACAGTCCCCTCTCCTCCACCTCTCCACCCAGTCGGGATTCTGGGCACGCAAGCACATGTACCCAGCATGTTTTCTAGGCCTCCAAGGCCAGCACTAGAACCTGCAGTCAGCCCTGTGGGATCTGGTTCTTTTAACTATTACACCACAGGGCCATCCCATATAATATGTGCTTCTTTACCAGTCCATTAAATAAAAAGATAGAGCAATGGTCTTTTAACTATAATAATTTTGAATAATGATCTTAAATGATATCTTGAGATGTGCGACAACTGTAAAGTGATACAAATATGTCTGTGACTTCTGCTGGTACTATGACTGCCACTGGCGACAGGTACACTAATACTGTTGTGGTTTGTTGCTGTAGCAGCTTGTTAAATTAATGGCCCCCGTGAACCACACCTCACGTTCATGCCCTTGTGTAGTTTCCACTATATAAACTCTGGGCTTTTCTACGTGACTCGTTTTGACATCAACAAATGTGAGGCCAACAAGCATCTGTACATTGGGACCTGCCCTCTTGGAACCCAGTAACCAGGTGAGAAAGCCCAAGTTAGGCACATAGAAGAGCACCAAGCTGCCAGCTATGGGAGTGAGGCCACCAGCTAAATTCAACCACTGGGGAACATCAGCAAAACTACCCAGCCAACCCACAGATTATGAGAAATAAACAATTGTTATTGTCTTAAGGCACTGGTTTGCAGTGGTTCATTACCCACCAGTAGATAAATGAAAGTCACCCATATTCATAACTGAAACGAATGCTCAATTTCAGCTGGAGATGGGTGAAAAGATTTTTAAAATGTTTCTTTTTTAAGGGAGAGAGAACATCTCTTACTTTTTATTCTTTAGTCATGATAGAACACATGTGATGCATATGAGAGAAGGAGAGACAGAGATCTTCCACAGGGTCTAGTCATGCTGTCATCCCCTTCCTCTGGTCTTCCAACCTGTGGGATCTTGGACATTCACGTTCATGTCCAGTGTGTTTCAGGTTGATCCAGTGGAGGATTTGTGTGTGTGTGTGTGTGTGTGTGTGTGTGTGTGTGTGTGCGCTATAGGGCGCGTGCGCTCACCAGAAAAGACAGAGAGACAGAAAGCGAGAAATCACCCCCCCCAGGGGTGGATGGCCACACCGCAATCCCTTCTCCTCCATTCTCCTCTCGGGATCTTGGGCACGCATGGCGTGAGTTTAAGCCACCGGGTCTGGGACTCGAACCACGGTTGACTACATGGGAGTCCAGCGACATAGCCATTACGCTAACTGCTGGTCTCCAGTGGAGGATTTTTAACCACAGCAGACATATGGAACCTGGCTTCTCCTGAGCAGCACATTATCACTTTGTTACAAGAGTGGCCCAAAGAATTGTTTTCAGGAATCCCTGAATACTAGCTACAGATTCTTTGAGTGTCTGAGGCCTCAAAATTAAGAAACAAATGGTTAGGGGCCAACAGGTGGCATAGTGGTTAAGGCACTGGACTCCCACATGGCCAACAGCAGTTGGAGTCCCAGACCTGGGGTTTTGCTTTTGTGCTCTCTCTCTCTCATACTGTGTTTGTCTCTCATGAGGGCATGTGCCATATAGCAAATTTAAAAATAATAAATAAAATAAGGAGCCTGTAGGTGGCATGGTGGTTAAGGGCGCTGGACTCCCACATGGCCGAGTGTGGTTCAAGTCCCAAGCCTGATGGCTTGCTTTCTCACTTTCCCTGTCTCTCTCTCTCTCTCTGTGTGTCTCTCAAAATTAAACAATAAAATTAAATATTTCTTAAAACAAACAAATGGTTAGACAAAGTATCAGTAGATCCTATTCTTTTTACTATCACACTACATCATTGGTATCCATAGTTAAAACTGATCACAACATGCATGCCCTTTTTGTCACCCTAAAACTAGGCTGAGTTCCTGGCACATACAGGTGTTTAAAACAAATTTGTCAAATGAGTGAAAACTGTCTATTAGGTGTTTTCCTGTCTACACTGTGAGCTGTCTGAACATAAAATAAACGCAAATACTTATATGGTCCCTCTACATGCCAAGACCTTTTCCAAGTGTTTTACACATACCAATATACTTATTTTAACAACCCTATGAGGTAGATGCTATCACCCCAATTTCACCGAAAACTGGCACAAGAAGGTTAAGTGACTTGTCCAAGGTCACGTTAGCTACAAAGTGGTAATTCCAGGAGTGGAAAGCAGAATTCCCATTCTGATTTTATAGCCTTTATTAATTCGCCCAAAGCACATTTCAGAAGCTCAACAAAACTCTTAAATGAGTACAATTCTGTGAGTTCATTAGTAGTATTTTTAAAGGAATTTTAATTTATTATTATTTTAAAATTTGCTCTCTGGCACATGTGCTCACCAGAGACAGAGAAGGGTGAAAAGTGAGAAACAGAGCCCCCAGGTCTGGGACAAGAACCATGGTTAGCCATGTGGGAGTCCAGTGCCTCAACCACCACGCCACCGGCTGGCCCTCATTAGGACTATTTCATAGGTACTGTACATCTCGAAGCCTTCATTTTGTAGATTAATTTCTAGTAGCCTGTGATTTATGACCAAACAAAACTTAATTTCTAAAAAGTAGAACGGCTTTATAAAGCCAAAATGCAGATTTTCAAAGTCTCAACCACAAAAGTTGATTTTTTTCAAAAGACACGAGTACATAAAACCTAAGGCAGGCAATCTACCTGTCCATATTAAATAATGTTCACTGGGGACTGAAGCATAGCTCCACCCCCCCCCACCTTCCGAAGCCTGCCTCCCCCACACCCTGCAGTAGTCTCTCCGAAGGTGACCCTCCCCCACCCACACACCAGGTTCTGAAATCTGACCCTGCCAGGCAACCAAAGCCAACCTCACAGTGCTCTGAGCTGGCCTCACACTACCCGCGATCCCGAGGGCACCAGCCGGGGTGGTGGGTACTTTCAGTGAAGGCACTCTAACTTTTCCGAGTGTTTTTCTCGAGAGCACGACCCAAAGGACCACTCCCACGTGTGGTCTCAAGCCTCCATCATCCGGCAGCGTTCGCCCCAAGCAGACCGGTGAATGAACCGCAGGGCCTGGACGCAGCCAGGTCGGGAAAAGCCACTGGGCAAGCCCGGCCCGGCCTCCGGAGAGGCCCCACGAGAACGCGGGGAGACCTCCAGGCGGCCGGGAGGGGGCAGTGACAGCCGTGACCCGGCTCCACGCTCTCACCTTGAACATGTCGCTGGTGGCGGCGGCGGCTCCCCCTTACACTCACTTTTTGATACACTTTTAATTCTAAATTTAATGCAGCCTAAGTGAGTTACAAACCTGTATGTCTCAGTTAAAATATGTCCCCGTTTTTCTCATGTTATAGTCTGATCAGCAAGAAAAAAAGAGGACATCCAGACATAGTCAAATTATAGGGGTTCTTTATTAATAAACTGGCGGCTGCTGGAGGATTCTTGTCTTTCAAAGATCCCACAGCCCCAAGTGTAGGGAGAAGGGGTCTTATAAAGGCAAAAACCACATTTGGGTTAAGACGATCACACCGCCGACTCGCTGCGGCGAAGGCTTGGTTCAACCACCCAGGGCTGGATGCGGAGACGCCGAGCTGCGGGCGTCGCGCCCCGGGCGGCGGGAGCACGCAAGCCCCACCCCCCGGAGACTCCGCCCTTGCGCCGAGGGTTGCTAAGCGGCAAGAAAGCGCCGGCCCGGTGTGGGCG